GGATGGCTATAGCGACCTCAGGCAGCTGTCAGGAGAGCCCAGTCCCGTTTCGGGGGCAGAGTCGAGGGGACCCTGGCTCCCTGGCTCCCTCGCTGGTCCTGGCTGGAAGAAGACCTGGTGGGTGGCCCAGGGCACAGGGTGCCGGGTGCCGGAAGTGGCTAGGAGCCGGGAACCCAGGGACCTCTCCTATCAGGTGTCATCAGGGACACTGCAGATGGTCCCAGCTTAGACTTTGGCATTTGATACCAGACCGTGACGTCTCTGCTTGATAAGGGCCCCACCCCCAGTGATGGGGGCAGGGCAAGGGGCTTGGGTGCCCCCACCTCGCCTCAAGGCTCCTCTCTTCAGCCCTCTGGGTCTGGATCCCCCGTCTAGTCGTCTACCCCATCTCCCTCCCAGGCCCCAGGGTCCAGGTACTGGAGAGCTTTCTGTCACCCTCCCTCCTGTCTCTTGTCCTCAGCTCAGGAGGCTCAGGGTGGGGCCTGCGCCCTGGGCCGGGAGGTCACCAGCCCTTGTCTCGGTGTCCCTGGGCCCCCACCTGGTTCTGGAAGCTCCTACCTGTGAGGGTAGTGAGGGGGCACCTGCGGGGAGGAAACACAGGGCGGGAGCAGCTGCCGGTCAAAGATCTGCTGGGCGCACACATGACCTGCTGTGTACTGAGCCCCATTAATGTTTACCCAGGAGTTGAGGCTCCCGAGGGGTACCTGTCACAGCCCCAGGTGCCTGCCTTGTCCACGTTGCACTGCTGCCCTGTGGCAGGTGCTCTGGGCCCCCAGCCCAGCCCTCTTCGAGTGGGCTTCCTCCCTGGATGGGCCCTGAGCCAGGCCAGGGGTGTTGCAGGGCTGGGCACAGGCTCTGAGTGCAGGACTAGCGTAAGTAGACCCCTGTGTGGCACGACCAGACGCTGTGTGCCGCCTGCCCTGGGTAGGGCGGGGAAGGGCAGGGCAAGGGCAGGATGCTGGCACTCTGGCTGGTTGGCCTGGAGGCCCCTTGAGAAGTCTGCCCTGAGCTCTGCAGACCTTACTGTGGTGGTCCCTACCTCATCAGAAGAGTGGGAGGGAGGCGCTTTGCACCCACCGGGTGGGGAGGGCCCCAGCCCCTGAAGCCTTCCAGTTCAGACCCAAGTTCAGGGCAGGGCTGGGCCCAGCAGTGCTCCCAGCGGGCCCAGCCTCAGTGGCGGGCAGTAATGGTGGAGGGCACTGCGCCTCCATCTGCAAGTTGGGGGCGGGGGCAGGGCCCGTCCCCCAGGCCGCGGTGGGGGCCCGTCCCCCAGGCCCTCCCCCCGGAGAGTCCTGACTGGCGCCGTGGCTTGTGGGCGCCTCTCGGGGTCAGTCCCCTTCCTGCTGCCCCTGCTGGGGCATGCTCCTTCCCCTCCCCCTTGGGCCACGGTGCCCTGGTATAGTTGCTGCCCACCAATCGCTGTGTGCCCTGGGGGACTTTGCCCCAGAGAAGGAGGAGGTTTCTGAGTGTCCTCTCAGCAAATTTTCTTGTCCCTCCCTGTCCTGCACCCACTGCCCGGGGCAGGCCCAGCAGTTCCTCCCAGAGGCAGTGTGACAGTGTGACAGCTCCTTTCGGGATGGGGATGGGGATGTTGCAGCCTGACTTGAGGGAATGTCTGTGTCCACAGCCTCCAGAACCTTCTCTGGCCCCTCTGAAGGGTCTGTGTGGTGGCCATTATGAGGTAGACGGAAGCGGAAGCTGAAGGCCAGGAAAAGGCCTAGTGTGGGAGTGGTCCTACTGAGCTGTGCAATCTCGGGCAGGCCCCCAGCCTCTCTGGGCCTAAAGCCAGCCGCGCCCCGGGGCCCGCTCCTTGGACAGCTGTCACAACAGGGACTTTGTGCCTGCAGGGGACCCTGCCGGAACAGTGCCCGACACGTAGTGGGTGCTCAGTGAGCTTTGTTGAATAAATGAACTTCACAGGGATGCTTTGCAAGACAGGGCTGAAGGAGGTGGCTCTCTGCTCTGGTTCCCACCTGTGGGACTTTTTTAGCCAGAGACCCGTGGAGGCGTCCTCTGAGCTGAGTCCAGACCTGGGTTGGGCTTGCAGGAGACTCTGAGCGCAGCAGCCCTCACCACGCACACAGTCAGGCTGGCCTGAAGCCCTGGAATCCTGGCCAAGACGGGAAAGAGGTAACCGGCTTCTCAAAGAGCCTCACGGTACCATGGGCACAGCCCCCACACTTAGGCTGCGGTCTGGGGGTGTCCGTGTGGGGTCCCAGGCCGTTCCGGGCTGGTTGCACGGCAGTCGGAGGTTCCACGACAAGCATGCCGTGGACAGCAGGTCCTCGGCGGGCGGTGGACTCAGACCTGGGGACTGTCCAGGGTGTCCCAGCAGAGGCCGCAGCTGCAGCAGCGTCTGGGCTGGGGGAAGTGGGGCTGGGTGCCCAAGGTGGGGCGGAGCCTGGCTGGCTGCTGAGTGACAGCGGTGCTGCCTTTGGGGGGCGCGGGACGCTGGGGCTCCATGCGAGGCGGCTCCCGCTCAGCCCTGACAGCCAGGAAGGCGGCCAGGTCGAGGTCCAGCATGGCCACCCCTCCACGGGGCGTGGGTGTGCTCTGGCGGCACTGCGGGCAGGGGACCCAGCGCTGCTCGTGGGCCACCGTGTCCAGCCGCCGCACGCACGCCTGGCAGAAGGTGTGGCCGCAGTAGAGGCGGCGCGGCAGGTGCCCGGCCAGGTCGTAGGCTGAGTAGCAGATGATGCAGTCACCGCGCCGGGACCCAGTGGCAGTCCCCTCCTCGGAGACCCGGGA